AACATTGCATACGTTTCCCATTAATATGTTGTTGCAGCGAACGAAATAGATGGTAATCTGATGGTGCCATATCTGGAGAATATTGTGGGTGGGGGAGAACTTCCCAAACAAACTCCATAATCTTGTGTTGTGTCAAACGTGCCACATGTGTATGTGCATTGTCGTGGAGAAGAACACCTTTCCGATTGACGAGTGAAGGGAATTTCTGATGAAGGGCTTGATTTAAACATTCCAGTTGCTGACTATAGATCTTTGCATTGACAGTTCGCTGTGGATTGAGGAGTTCGAAATGAATTACTTCTTTGATGTCCCACCAGCTGCTAAGCATCACTTTTTGCAGATGGAGTCCAGGTTTTGGGGTCGGAAGTTGTTATTGTCTAGGACTGAGCCATTGTTTTTGGTGTTTAATATTTGCATAGAGAATCCATTTTTCATCACCGGTGACAATTCTGTCCAAAAATGGTTCATACGCATTACATGCCTGAAGAGATGAAGCAATGTTCACACGTTAGAAATTATGATCATCAGAGAGTTCATGAGGCACACAAACACCTTCTTTAAGGAGTTCTCCCATATTCCTTAGATGTTTACATATTGTTTCATGAGAGACATGCAATTTCAGGGCCATTTCACAAGTGTGTTGCCTTGGGTTAGTTAGACCCAACAAGCGTCTTCAGAGCGTCAATATCAATTTCAACATGTCGGCCCCTGCCATCACAGTTTTTAAGGCTAAAGTCACTCGAACAAAATTTACTGAACCTTCATTGATACTTACGAACATTCAAAACATTTCCATAAACTTCTTTGATATTCTTTGTGGCTACAGAGGCATTGTTTCCCTTCTTGTATTAAAACAGCATTAAATACCAAATGTGTTTGTCTTGTCATGTGCCATCACTATGAGGGATTAGAGTACACATTATACAGGCTTCACTGACGTGACGTTTAGGCGGTTCATTTCACTATTATACGTGATGTACGTTTTTTTTAGGGGTGGTTAATAAAAGTGTTCCAAAACACGATATTAATTTCTTGATGACCTAATATTTTCAGCAGTGAGCATTATTTTATACTCCTTTTTTTCAGTCACAAATCTTAGTTGATGAAACTGAATCATATTTCTTTTTTCCTGAACATAGTAGCAGCCCTCCGGAAATATGGATGATAGTGG